AGGGGTTTTCTGAATGGCTCTTTGTCTCGTCCCTCACCCAGGACCAATTTGCCATGGGAGTTTAGACCAGCAGTGCACCTCCCCTTGTCAGGGACGACTCTCTCACTAGAGCTTAAATACCTGAAGAACTGAAGAAGCTTCTCTTATTGGAGGTGAAAAGTCTTCAAGATAAAGTCCAGCCGCTTTTCTACAGCTGCCCATTGAAGTGTGTGTTTTATGTCTGCCTGTGAAGCACTCGGTAACACAGTGACTCAACATTGCAGCAAACCCTAGCCCCCTCCCTCTTCAAGATCCAGACTGCACATGCTTGAACCTTCGTCTGACTGCCATGACACCAACTGACAGCCCACAGTGCAACAATAAACTGCACTGAGCAGATGTAACAACGTACAAATAATAATCATTCTGGCCCAGTAGACATTTATATCCCAGAGATATCCTGAGTCATCATTACAATACAAAATATCCAAAAAGGCTGAGAAACTGTATGTTAAATACTTTTGTAAGATAATACTTCTGACTTTACAGCTGCCATTATTGACAAAATGAAGATGAATTTTTATTGTTTGGCGACATATTAGAAAGTACAGAAGAAACTGGGTATGACATCTTAGAGAGTTCTAGAAATCCTCAGAGTCACAGCTAAATGAAAGCCAGGATCTGCAACATGAAACTGCTGTGAGATAATGACGCATCAGTCCATTTGAAAGTTTTTTAGAGTCCCTTATTTAGATGGAGTGGTAGGGTGTCAGCTAAACTTGGCAAACCTTTCTGTTGATCTGCATCCATAAACTGTATGGATGACCACTTTGAAAACAAAACAAACAAACGATAGAATAAAAAAAACATGCACGAATACAGTGGAAGCCCAGATGTCCCAGTTTCCCGCTGGGATTTGAATCTGGCAGCATGAAATTTGTCTTAAAGCTCCATGTGGGCATGCCACGTGATCTGTGTCTACAGTGGCTTGCAAAAGTATTCGCCCCCCTTGAACTTTCCCACATTTTGTCACATTACAGCCACAAACATGAATCAAT